GCAACACGTCAAAAAGATCACGAAGAAACGAAGGTAGGCAGGGAGAAGCAGGGCCGTCGAACAACTCAAACCATTATTCTCGGTGGAATTGTCAGCAGCGGTCAGTACAGTAGGCAGCTTGCAGGTTCCGCATATCGGAAACGTACAAGCGCCCGCGATGTGGTGACGATGTCGACAGGGCCGAGAGATCGGTGTTCGGACCCCCGAAAGTCGCGTTTTAGTGCTTCTCTCCAGGGCTGGACCCTTGAGATTGGCTTGCCAGATTGGTACGATGGTTCCTTCATAGATTAGCGGCTGCCCCTCCATATGCACTTGCGATCGTGGGCGACCGAGGATGGCGCGGTTTGATCTTTCTGTTGCTAATCGACTGTTGTCGCTCTCACTAACTTTGTGATAACTTTGTTGGCGCGCGCGCATTCGATACACGTGTTCTAGGTAATCATGTCGGCGACTACGAGTGCGACGACGGCGCCCGCTGTGGGTGTAGAGTCGAAGAAAGGTATGTTGGATGTTTGGCGGGGCGCGTTTGGAAGAGCTATACTGACATCGGCGCAGTATGGACGACCCTCATCACCAACACGGCATACCTCACCGGTCTCCTTACCCTCGACTACTCGCTCAAGAAGCACGGCACAAAGTACCCGCTCATCGCTCTGTACACGGATACCTTCCCCGAAGAAGGCCACAAGGCGCTCGATGAGCGCGGCATACCGAAGCAACATGTCAAGTACCTGCTCCCAATCAAGTCAAAGGACTTCACCGCGGACCCGCGCTTCTACGATTGCTGGAGCAAGCTTACGCCCTTCTCGCTGGAGGAGTACGACAGGGTGGTACAGCTAGACAGCGACATGTTGGTCTTGCAGAACATGGACGAGCTCATGGACTTGGAGCTGGACGCACCGAGTACAGGCGGCAAGGGTAACAGAGTGTTTGCGGCGAGCCACGCGTGCGTGTGCAATCCGCTCAAGAAGCCGCACTACCCCAAGGACTGGTATGTCTCTTCCCTTATACATAAATATGATACATAGACTAACACAACTCCAGGATACCAGAGAACTGCGCCTTCACAACCCAACACGCCGACCCCACCACCGCCCAACACACAGGCGCCCCCTCAACCGCCGGCCTCCGTATGCCCAACGGCGGCCTCCAAGTCGTAAACCCCTCGCTCGCGACCTACAACCTGATCCTTGAGCAGCTCTCCAACGAGGCATCCGGCGACTACGACTTCGCCGACCAATCGCTGCTGGGCGATCTGTTCAACGGTCGCTGGGTCACGCTGCCGTACACCTACAATGCGCTCAAGACGCTGAGGAATAAGGGTGTGCATGATGTGATCTGGAGGGATGAGAATGTCAAGAATATTCATTATATTCTTAGTCCGAAGCCCTGGGAGGAGGAAGATGGGAAGTCAACGTGGGAGACGCATCAGTGGTGGTGGGATGTTAATAATGAGAGGAGGAAAGGGGAGAAGAGTAAGGGGATTGACGATGGATTCTGAACTCTCACGATGTCGTGGGGTCGTTGCATAGTGGTCGGCGTAGAGGTGTAGAGTAGTACGAGAAACTTGGGCCTGCATCTTACGAGAAGCCCTGGAGGCGTTGCATAGTGGTGGGGTAGGGAGAATAATGCCCTGCATAAAAAGTATTTGGCAGCCATGGAGGAAGAATACATTCCATCCAATGAAGACTGCGTTCCGATTATTGAACAACCCACGTATTGCCTACGAACACCTTCCTTTTCGGTAGCACGGCTTTGTACACGATGTTTTTCAAGTTTCCTCTAGGCTTGGCGCCAGGGTTCCTCCCCGATTCAGTAATCCCTCAAGCTCGGTAGTTATGCTTCTTTCAACACATGGTCCGCACGGTGTACCACGTCATGGTGGACGGTACTAACCCTGCGTGGTCAGTGTACAGGCCTTGTGAAGAACTATTCGTAACGCGGACCAACATTTGACTGTAGCAGTCAGGCTCGGGCAGTTGGAGGGACGATTCGAGCAGCAAGTCGCAGAAAACTTCTTGCATCGGCTTATTTCGCCCGAGATATCAGGCCTCGACGATATTTGAGCCGGCTATAGCAGAGACTAAATCCCGAAGGAGGGCTAGCCAAACGGGAAGATCGGAATACGTCACGGTAACGCCGTGTGTACAGGCAAGATGCAGTGAGTGAACTGCTGCCAGTTCCCACGCGAACGGCGCAGACCCCACGGCTTCATCAATCTCAGGAGTAGCGCCGCGTACCTGCGTTTGCCGGCATTCGGTGAATCGAACGGCGGCGGCAAAGTCACACGGCAGGAAAGGCTGCTGGAAACTATATGGCTAGCTGCAGCTATCGTGCAGCCAACGCGCATGCAGATGCAGCGAGTAACGCATGCGGAGACCCTTTGCTTCATCTTAGCCAAGATTCGCAATCAAAGGGCGTCGTCGAGCTGTGAGCCCCTTTTCGCCGACTGAGGCAAAAGCAGGAGAGGCGGTGATGGAGGTGTGTGGTTGGCGTGTAGGATGAACCCGTCACGATCAAGCCGTTGGGCGGAGCACAGACGTTTGGCAGCTGCGATCTGCAACGCGCCTGCTGCGGTTTCACTCCTGAGCAGCGTGAAACCTCATTTCATGAACAGCGCCAGCGCCCACGCGAGACCCTGTCCCGAGTCGCTACACATTTGCATCTCCTGTGCCGTCTACATCTTGACGTCTTCTCCCACACACGACCGCCATTGAATCTCACCTCCACGCCTTATCACGCCCGACCGCCTGCCGTCTACCGTCCTCCGTCGCGCGCACTAGCTATAGCTCGCTTTCGCCGATATACCGCCCACTCGACACCACCACCCAGTCCATAACGCGTAAATCAGCACCATGGGGGGTTCAATATCCAAGATGATGGCCAAGGTCTTCGGCTCCAAGGAGATGCGCCTGCTGATGCTGGGCCTCGACGCCGCCGGAAAGACCAGTACGCACCACCATCACACCACATACACTGTCGCTAACTCCCCCAGCCATCCTCTACAAGCTCAAGCTCGACCAGGACGTCACCACGATCCCCACCGTCGGCTTCAACGTCGAGACCGTCACATACAAGAACACCAAATTCAACGTCTGGGACGTCGGCGGCCAGGACAAGATCCGTCCCCTCTGGAGACACTACTTCTCTGGTATGTTGGGCCGCGGAGGCACGGTTCCGGGTAGGCGAGTCGACATGCACGCGACTGCATGCGCATGGCTTCTACCTCACCCGGCTCCTGCTGATATCTCCCATTGAACAACATGACTAATCGCAATCGCAGGCACCCAAGGTCTCATCTTCGTCATCGACTCCAACGACCGCACCCGTATCGACGAGGCCAAGCAGGAACTCACAAGGATTATCCAGGACCGAGAAATGAAGGATGCGCTGTTGCTGGTGTTTGCGAACAAGCAGGATCTCAGCGGAGGTGCGTAAACATGAGAAGTGCGAACATGAGGAATATCGGGCTGACACGATATAGCTATGCGACCAAAGGAAGTCTCAGACCGTCTGCAATTAGACAAGATCGCCAAAGACCACGTATGGAAGGTGGAGCCCAGCTGCGCGACAACAGGAGAGGGTATCTTTGAGGGATTGGTACGTTCCGATCTCCCCAGCATAATTCATTTGCGCCATCATGAACTAACACTTATGTCAGGCCTGGCTCTCCAACAACGTCAAGCTACCACCCGGCGCCAAATAAACGTCTTCCTACCCACCGCGATCCGCGCATCCCTGTCCCTCTCTCACACACTGTCCGCGATACCTGAACGACTTGCATGCTCTTCCCTGCATATACCCGGTTTTGTCCTCTTTACTTAATGTCGCACTTACTCTTATCGTCTTGTAATCTTCTTAATTGGGGCTTGTACATTAGATATGTACAAATCTTTTTTTGTCTTGTGTGTAGATCTTTTTCCTGTTGTGGTCCGAAGATGGGTGCCTGGCTGGGCTGACTGGTTGGTTGGCTGGTTGGGCTGTCTATAAGTAAGCGATACTGATACTGATATTACCTCTATCTGTGTGTGTTTTGAGGTGGTGGTGTGGATGGTGACGTGGAATGTTTGACGTCTAATATCTAGGTTGGCCGCGACTACCTTCCCTGACGCGCCTTCCGAATCCATCCTTCGCGACTCCCTTCCCGAGAACTCATCAACTACGGATTTCCCAACCCCCGGCTTCTTCCCCTCTCTGGATTACGTCTTTGGTAATTGCTCATCATGGTCACAGCTCACTCTACTTCCTTTCCGACCACCGGCGTTTGCTACACTCAACGAAATGCGTGCGCGTTGAAGCACACTATACAAGCAAGCCTTGAGGTATTGCTTGTACGGAGGTGAGTTCCGCTCTCGACAAGCCGAGTGTTCTTGACTGAACGAGAACTGACTGTGAATTGAGACACAGCGTCATGAGTTTGGGACTAGCATTATGAGCTTGGGATTAGCATTATGAGCTTGGGATTAGCATAGCGGTCCCAATGGCCCTGCAGCGCTTTGAGACCAGCGTATGCAGTTGCGCATTCGACTGGAATCCGCTTCTGAAACCAATTTACTGACGTCCAGCTGATTTCGCCGATATCCAATGTGCTTTACTGACATACAAGACTGGCGTGTTTGGTTTGACGTCACAATCAGACAATTCAGAGTGCTTAGGGGCGCTCTTTGTCTTCCGAAAACTGCCTCCCAAACACGATTGTGTTGGCTTGTCTTGAGCATCAACAAGCAATGAGACACTGAGACAGTGGTATATGAAGATGCTGGAGGACAGTGTTGAGATGGACACCAGCGAACGCAGCTGATACCTTGTCCGGTTACTCAAGACACGAAATCAACCTCAAGGCTTCGCAAAATTTCTTCTGATTACCTTTCGTCACAGACGACTTTTGCTTCTTATTCTATCGACCCGACAGCTATGGCTCCCCCTATGATAGCTCCCGCAACGCGGGTGGCGATCGACGCCGCAATCAGCGCCGCAGTGAACGACTCAACAGTGACGACATGTGCAAGGTGTGGCTCGTCAAACCACAATCTTCTCAAGTGTCCTGCGAACAATTCGGTCAGTAGCAAAGGCCCTCTCTGGAAGAATTTCAATACCGGAGCTGCGCTAGGCGCCGATGAGTATCTCAAGAACCACGCCCAGTACCACTACCAGTACGTTGCTCCTATGCCTGCCATAAGGGGTAACTCAGGTAGAGGTCGTGGTTGGGGAAATCAGCAGCCAGGACGGGGCCGTGGAGGCGGAGGCGGGGCTGAAGGCGGAGGTCGCGGTCGTGGTGACAGTCATGGTCGCGGTGACAGCCATGATCGCGGTGGCAGTCGTGGTCGCGGTGTCAGTCGCGGCGGTGGCCGTGGAGGGTTCAGCAACACCGGAACCAATCAACGTGTGCCTTGGAGTGCAGTGGCCAACTACAGCAATGCTACAACCGGTACCGACATGCACTATCCTCTGCCTGAAGATCTCAGTAACAAAGCCCCCGTCGGCGATGGCAAGGCATGGACCTTACCGGGGGATATGACCGACCGAAACAACGTACTCACACTCAAGGAAGACTCGAAATATCCACTTCGGTCGAGCTGGTTTACGAACGCTGACAAGGACGTCATCCTTACCAATCACTTTGAGTACGAGCTTAGTGCCGACAAGTTCTACGAGTACAAAATTCTGGATATGGGGACGAAGAATCGCAAGAAGCTGAAAGTACTCATGCAGAACGCTATCAACAGTTGGCCCTTCCTGAATTCCAACCAAGCATCGTTTGCAACCAACGGGATGGACACGATTGTTTCGTGGATACCATTGCATACCGACTTAAAGGACGGAGAGGCCGTTGATGATCACTCGATCGAGTGGGGTTCTCATAGAATCCCTCTCGGGAACGATTTCGTCTCGACTCGGTTCAAGTTCGTCAAGGCGATCGACACCCATGGTCTTCGACGTTATGCTGCTGCCGATCCGAACTACGAACACTACAACTTCAACGACATAGCTACGTGTCTCAACATCGTCATCTCCAAGAGCTTCAGTACAGATGTGCACAAGTTGTCATCGAACAAGTTCTTCGTCAAACGCGCTCGCAGTACACTCAATAACGGGACAACCGAGAACGATTCCAACTCATTGGAAATCATTCGCGGCTACTACTACAACGTCAAGCCTGGTATGGGAAACATCATATTGAACTTCAACATCTCCACCAGCGCCGTCTTTCGACCGATACTTGTGAGCGAGTTCATGGCGGACTCCGAAACGTTCGCGGCTGATAGACGTGCGCACATTCTGGCTGGAAAGACCGTGTACATCCACAAGGACCGCATCGACAGCGATAAAGACAAGGAAGCTAGGCTGAATGACGAGAGTTCTCGGTATTGGAAGATCTTTGAGCTCCAGAATGATGGTGGAAATATTGACAGCCTAGTCTTCTACAAGAAAGTTTTGGATGACAACGGGAAGCCCCGAACGAACGATAAAGGAGGATACATACTGGAGCAACAGCCTACGAAAGTGGTAGATCATTTGGAACAAGGTGAGACACCATTTCTCATGGTCATACGTTTATATGCTAATCGTCGCAGTGTTCAGCACACAGCCAAGAAAAGATCTTGTAGCGGTCAATGTGGGCTCGAGGCTGCATCCAGTATGGTACGCACAGGAGTTCCTTCGTATCGTACCTTACCAGCCCTATACTCGGCCGGTGCCAGACCCGTACACCTCCTCTATGGTCGACCAGGCATGTCGTGATCCAGCGGTCAGCCGTGCATACATCGAAAAAGAAGGCCTGGCCAGCATTGGGTTCACCACTAATGACAGCGCCGTTGCTTTCGTAAGTACTGCTTTACTTTGATCTAATTTTAACGGCTGACAAGTGCATTTCAGGGAGCGAATATCCCCGTCAAACTGATCCCCACCATGCTCCAGGTTCCACATCATATCTTGGGTATGCCAGCAGTCAAATACAGTAACGATACCACCACCGGAACAATTCAGGCGAAAAAGCAATCTCACTGGCACTTCCCGCCGAACGCCACACGGTTCCTGTATACGAATCAGAGCAATCTGGGTAGCTTCAAATACGCCATACTGTTGGGTGAAGGCGTTTTCAAGAGTAAGAGACAAACGTTCAAGACACGGATCACCAGTCAGATCGCCAAATGCGGCTTCCAAGTCTCTCAGGCAATGGATGTGTCCAATCCTGGTCTTGACGAGCCTCTCAGAACAATGGAGCTTGGATCAATCAAGGAGAAACTCGAAGAGGCCAAGAAGCTTGGTGCTGACTTGGTCGTACTCGTGCTCCAGAGCTACAACGTTGCCGCATACCGCAACTTCAAGAGTCTTACAGACAGAGATTTGGGGATGCAATCGGTTTGCATGACGCTGAAGCGAGGTCGCGAGGACGAAATAACAACCAACATTATGATGAAGGTCAACCTCAAGTTCGGCGGTATCAACCACGGAGTCACAATGGGCGCTCAACTCTCTGCCACCATGGTCATAGGTGCAGACCTAATCCACCCAGGACCAGGCTCATATCCAGGCACACCATCTATAGCTGCTGTTGTGGGTTCAGTCGATCTATATGCGGGCAAGTGTCTTGGATCTTTACGACTGCAAGATGTTCACAAGACAGATCGAGAGGTACGTCAAGTTCACCCTTTGCTTGTGGTTTTGCTAATCATCTTAGATCATCGATGAGAAGTCTCTCAAAGAAATGGTTCTTGAGAGGTTGATGGCCTGGAAAGAGTTTGGTCTCGGTGTTGTCAACGAGCTTCCTAACAACATCATCTACTTTCGCGACGGCGTTAGTGTCGGACATTATGACAAAGTCAAAGAAATCGAACATCGAGCTATTCGCGCCGCTTACAAAGAGGCCAGATCGCAGCGTAACCTCCCAGAACAAGAGCTCAAGCTTGTCTCTGTCATAGTCACGAAGCGTCACCACACTCGATTCTTTCCACAGAAGCCGGAGGAAGGAGATAGATGGGGCAACAAGAACACCCATCCTGGTACCTGCGTCGACAAACTCGTTACATCACCCTACTATCAAGACTTCTTTCTGCAGTCTCACAGTGGAATTAAGGGCACAGCAAAGCCTACGCATTACTTCGTGCTCGAGAACGAGATTGAGCTCTGCAAGCTTGAAGGCCTACGAGATCTAGTAAGTTTATCAGAGCTCTTGCTTTGTTCGTACACACTGACACAAATGCAGATCCATAACCTCTGCTACTCATATGTTCGCACCATGGGCGGTGTCTCTTACGTCTCACCAACATACTATGCCGACCGGCTATGCGAGCGAGGACGTCTCTACATCCGCAAATACTTCATCGGCGACGACAAATCTCTCTGGGACGACTTTGGCGCCGAAAAGAAGCGACAGGAAGACATCTGGAGAGATGCGCGAGCCAAGATCCACGGTACAGGAGAACGCAAGAAGAGTTCCAAAGAGCGACAAGCGGAGAAGGATGATTCGGAGAAGGTCATGACTCACATGAAGGACTGGATGCTCAAGAAGGTTGAGAATGAGTTCTACGTATTCAAGGATCATGCGGACGAGAGCAAGAGGTGGGATAATCCTTACTCCAAGGATCTGGCGCAGACTATGTTCTGGATGTGAAGGATCTGGAGTCTGGAATGGTGAGTGTGATGGTGGTTGATCTCATGTGAGGCACTGATGATGGACGGAATGTGGCTCTCTTCTTTCCTCCTCTTTTGTAGGTTTCCCTTATTTCCTTCTGTCTGCTGCTTCGTCGCGGTTTCCTAGATCGTTGTCATAGACTCTACTTTCTGTACTCAATAGACTGTCAAACCCACAAACCCATTGCACTCCCCACAAGACTCACATCTCGCAAGCATGGCCCATACCCTCTTAACGCATTGATACGTACACATGAGTTGATCTTAATGTCTACCGATGTAGCTGCTCGGTGGTGTTGCGCCTTCATCCACCTGCCTCTGCCAGATGCTAATGCGGTGACGTCATCATCTGCCACTCAATCTCCATCCCAGTTGCTCCATGACTCCGACGTAGCCCTTTACACCACGCACATCGCACGCCAAATGATAAAGCCCAGCTTCAAATCAGCTGACTTGTCTAATTGACGCTATGCAACAACATGAGACTGCGAAACGTTCTCACGGCAGCCTCTTGCCGCATCTACTCGACACATGGGTACCGAGCTTATGGCGCACCTACCTTTGGAGAACATGGAGCCATGCTTGAAGCTCATGCAACTCAGAGGCGAAGTTCAAGAATTCCAAGATGATAATTATAATAGTGGAGCGCGCATTGAAGCGCTGCTTCTATGAACGATACGATCGGACTTTGCTCCTGGATACAAGGTCACCGCCTTTCTGCTCTTTCCAGGTTTGCCGCTTGAGCATACACATACTCCTTTTATCAAGGCCGCTCAATGTCATTTCGCAAATCACCTGCTGCGTGAAAAAGTCTGCGAGTACGTGTAGGCGTCTTCTTCTGCTAACCCTCTATTCTCTAGTCAACCAGCTCTTCCCGTCTGGAGCGACAATACTCACACTCTCCAATCATTGCATACGCATGTATCAGTATCGACCTCACTCATGTGCGATCTGTCGCGGGGGTTGGAATCGAGCGTTCTGCGCTTGCTACCAAACCTTTTTCGACAAGCACACCACCACTGGACGTGTCTCAAATCAGGACTTTGCGCGGTTGCGTAGACTACATCCAGTTGTCGGTTATGGGAGGCAAGCTTTACCAGAGTGGCCATCGCCGACGCTTGGGACTTACTACGGCAAGCAAGGCAACACATGATGCACCAAGCCCACACAAGCCCGGAGAAGACAGCTTTGCCTACTAAGGATGCTGTAGCCTGTTGGACTCTCGATAAATTACCAGCTAAGACGGCAATCGAAAAGTCCGATTCTGCAAGCGGCTTTGTAGCAAGCATGTCACAGGCAGTATCTATACACGGTCAAGATTGCTTTCCCGACATGACTGTGCGTGTACCAAGCCTGAGCGAGTAGCAATCTTCACATTTGAAGTATAATAACGGTCTCAATTCCGCAGAGTATCACTTTCATCATCGAGTACCACTCATCTCAGCATGGTCCGTAACAAGAACGGCAAAGGCAGAGGCTATGACAACCCCAAAGCTGAGCACAATGCGATCAGTGCCAAAGAGAAACGGCACATCGAGAACAACACCGCGAACTTCGTTATCCATCCATCCATGAAGGACGACTACTGGGCTTCGCTCGACCGTCTCAAGAGACCAGCTGCTAATGAATTCTACGAAGACCTGATACTCTACGGCGACTATCCCGGTGGCCCCAAAGATCCTAACAAAGCGGAAGCTCCTTGGCCGAGCAAGCCAGCTGCTACGATAGAAGACCCCGATACGAACCACACTAGTCATGATACTCAGGCGCAAGGTATTGGAGCTAAGATAGTTTCATTCGGTCATGTATCCAGCACCTCTGTGGACGGCGAGAGCAACACCTCTGAAGTCGAAGCATCCAACGAAGACACCGTATTGGAGAGCGCGAACGAAGCAAATGTCGCCAACACAGTCAGCATCAATCGGCCATCGCGAGAGACTAGCAAGATTCTGTCCATCCCGCGTGCCAGTCTTCAAGACGCCCCTGCAATCAACTTTCACGAAACCTCGACCCCCAACTCAGCTCCATCACCTTCCGCTTCAAGGGGTGGAAGGATAGTTCCAGTGAATCCTGAGCTATCTAAGACTCTGTCCAATCTGAAAGGTGCCTCGAAATATCCTCTTAGAACATCGCTTCGTACCAAACCAGAACGAGGCGAAGTGATCACGAACTCGTTCCAGATGAGGATCAATGAGAAAGCAGTCTTCGCCGAGTATCGCATTCTTGGCATACCAGCATCTGAATCACGGGCTGGGAAGAAACGTTACATGGAGACCGCCATCCAAAACGTACCCTTCCTAAACAACAATCGTGGGAACTTTGCAACTGACAACGCCGACACCATCATTTCTTGGGTGAATCTACATCAGTATGCGGGCGCTCAGATTATGATTGGTCATCCAACTACTAGTGTTGGAGCCATATACCGACTGGTGGATATCGATGATCGAAACACTACTGCGCAGCTCAGCTTAGAGTACAAGAGACGGATTGATTTTGCCGACTTACGGTCCTACGCAAACACGTCGCACGCTGATCCGTCCAACTACGATCCAAGCGCAGAAGAGTATGCGCTCAATACCATCATGTCCAGATGCATTGTGCACGACAATACTACTTTGCATCTGAACAACCACAAGTTCTACGTCCGCAATGCCTTCCGAGATCTAGTAACATCTGGACAGGGAGCTATTGCGCCTCTTAGATCCTTACGTGGCTATTCCTACAGGGTACACGCGACTATGGGTAACATTCTTCTCAACATTAGTCCAGTCAACAGCGCGTTTTGGAGACCTTTGATGGTCAGTGAAGTTTTGCAACATGGCCGCGGAACTTTCGGCGGAGATATCGAGGAAGCGAAGCGAGCACTCAAGAACGTCAGGGTCTATGTCGTCTACCATCGCGACAGCAAGGACAATAGATGCAAGCACCCGAGATGTGGAAACCGCGCCAATTGCACAGCAAATAACAGGGCCAACTTACCCAGCCTCGACGATCAGCATGCGAGACTAAAGACAATCTGTGGCTTTGGGCTGGCATGCAACCAGGAAACCTTCAGGTGGGAACACAAAGACGCGCAAGGAAATGCCATCGCAGCGCATAGCATCAATGTTACTGTCGAAAGGTACCAGTACGAACGTGAGTACAGCTCTCATCGCGTATCTAGCTAGGGGTTAACCACATGACAGAATACGGACGGACGCTGCGACATCCTGGCTCGCCTGCGGTGAACGTTGGCACCAATCTGGCACCTACGTGGTTTGCCCCAGAGGATCTTCGCATCGTTCCAGATCAGATTTATGCAAAGATCATACCTGATGCAGTAGCAACCGATTTCCACAACGACGCCTGCAGGCCGCCTGCAGTTATCCGATCACGCGTTGAACGAGAAGCACTCTCTCGCATTCCAATTACTCAAGTTGAAGGCCTCGTAAGCTACCGACCCCTCAAGAGTTTGCGAAACTATCCTAACAGTATTCAGGCCCACTGTCCACACATACGCATGAGCCCTCACATGATCCAGATACCCTCCGTTCGCCTGCCTTACCCGGCGATAATGTATCAAGGCAACGCTACCAACAAAGTCGTGGATCAGCGCTCTGGCAGATGGAACCTCCAAAACGCTAAGTTCCTACAACGCAAAGCTGGCAACGTTTCTTGGAAGCTTATCGCGGGACCAAACGTTGACCCTAGAGGTGACTCAGTGAGGCGCGTGGAAACGCATTTCAACGCAGCACTGAGACAATATGGGGTGGCGCTGAACAGTCGAATGGAAGGTCAGCCGCTGAATTTGTCGAATGCTACAGAGGATGATCTGTCCGGCACCCTTCGTGTCTACCTCCAAAGCCGACAGGATCAACGACAGCCAGTACCAGACCTCTTTGTCTTGCTACTGAGCCAAAAAGACCAAAACATTTATTCCAACTTCAAGTACCTGGCCGACAAAGTCTACGTGCTTCAATCAATTTGCATGATCGAGGCCAACACGAAGGGCAACGGCATCGCACAGTATATGGCCAACATAGCCATGAAAGCAAACCTCAAGATGGCAGGCATCAATCATTCCACACCGGGCCTAGACAAGGATCTCAGTAACACCTTGGTTCTAGGTGCCGACTGCACACATCCAGGTAGCGGAGCGCTAGCGGGCAGCCCTTCCGTTGCTGCTGTTGTCGGATCATTGGAGGCAAATGGGGGCAGGTTTCGTGGAAAACTCAAGCTACAACGACCCAAAGAAGAGGTCTGTCTTATGCTGCAATAACTCTCTTACCTTCGCTAGCTGACTGTCGTTGCAGATTATCCATGACATGGGAGATTTCCTCGTCGACCACTTCACCGCTTGGTACAACTTTCATGGGAAGTTTCCTGAGAACGTACTCTACTATCGTGACGGTGTCAGTACCTCACAATACGATGACGTCGTTGACGTGGAGCTCGCAGGTATCGAAGAAGCTTTCGAAGATTTGATCGAAGCCCAGAAAGGCGTGGGCGTCAAGCCGTTGAAGATCACGGCAGTCATCGTTACCAAGCGGCACAGTACCCGTTTCTTTCCTCGCCAAAAGAACGATGAGATGACAAACGGCAACTGCAAGCCCGGACTCCTCGTGGATCGCTCCATAACGTCACCGTACTACACCGACTTCTACCTTCAATCACACAACGCCATCAAGGGGACCGCGCGTTCTGCTCACTATATGGTGATTAGGAACGATATGGGAATGTCAACCGACCAGCTGGAAGATCTGGTAAGTCTTACAGATGAGCGTAGGGATACTGCTAACAAACAGGTACAGACGCACAAACTGAATTACACCTACGTTCGAGCTACACTAGGTGTATCCTACGCGGCACCCGCCTACTATGCTGACCGCCTTTGTGAGCGAGCGCGCTGTTACCTACGCAAATATTATGTCCCCAACAACAACGCGCGCTTCGACACCCGAAATCAGCTCCGTAACGTGGAAACCGCCGTCAATCAGAATCGCAACGCTACCAACGCGAACGTGCCACCACGCCCCAGAGGTCACAAGAAGACGGATGCAGAGATCCAGGCGGAGAAGGCTGATGCAAAAGACGTCGCCGACAGGATGTACAATTGGCTCAACCCAATCGCCGAGAACAGGTTGGACGCTGAGCGAGATGATGTTGCGAAGAATCCTGCAGGAGATGAGAGACAGAGGCATATGCTGGAAACCATGTATTGGATGTAGGTAAGCAAGGGGTGAACGACGGGAGTATGCTGGCGGATCACGGAGACTGCTGACCCATGGCTACGGCCACATTTTCTTCATCACCACCTCTTTTGTGGATTTCCCTTATTTCCTTTCGATGTCATAGACCGTGCTTTCTGCCCATAGATTTCCTTACTCAGTAGACTGTTTCATCCACAAACTCAATACAACTCTTGACAACACACGTTGAACAAGCATGGCACTAAGTGAGAAGAGCTGAAGAATGATTTGACTTTCATTGAAACAAGTCGCTTAACCTTTCGGAAGCTCGACTGAATGATACTAAAGCATTGACATGCAACACTAGATGACCCTTACACTAACACCTCTAGCCATATTGCAGGCTTTCCCTAGTCTAAACCACACCAAATACAAACGCCGTAGCGCTAGAATGCAACGATAAAGATGAAGAGCCAGGAACCAAAATTGCGCCAACCCGTCGTCAAGATACGTTAAGAATGTATGCAGCGCTTGGAAGATCATTTCCACTGACCCTGGCTCAGCTTGAGCAGGCCCTCTACACACCCAGCTTCTTCTGCTGAGTTTATACTCGAGCGACCACTCGCGTCGTCACCGTGCATGAATTGTCGCAGCTCATCGTCTTGCTCGGGGTCGACAACCCCCTTGCCACCTTTCCGCTTGTCCTTGGCCAGCATGGCACCGAGACTTGACGTCTGCGACATCAGATCTGTGTTCTCTCCCAGTATCTTGCGAGCTGCTCGTGAAGCAGGAGGCGTAGCGGCGACTTGGCGGTCTCTTCGTACAGACTTGGACGCGTTAGGCTCCCAGTTCTCCTTATCGCTCTCCGTTTGCGGGAACTCGTCCGACTCGGTGCTTTCACCGCCCTTCTTGTAGTCGGCATAGTCCTTGCTGGAGAAGCGGCCGCTGATGGTGGACGCGCGTTGCATGGAGCCGCGAGCCTTCTTGAGTGGACTGCTTTGTACTTTGTGTGAGCTGTGGCGTGCCATCAGCGGGCTGCTGTTTTGGCGGGCCTGGTTCTGTGCCAATATCCTTCGGTTCGCGCGTAGTATGCCAATTGCGTCAGCTGCACTGCCACTCTCCTCTTGTTCGGCACGCGTTGTCAGGCTGGTTGTTGATCGGCTCTCGGGATCACACCAGAACTCCCATGCGCGCGAATCCCTGCTTCTTCCGATATTCGATGTTGTCCTTGGTACCTTGGGGCTCGGCTCGCCTCGCGCAGCGGCGGCTAGGCGGTCGTTCAAACCAGCTGCACTGTAGCTTCGTCGCAGGCCAGCAGCGGCACGGGAGAAGGAAGATGGAGTCTTCTTCGACTTTGGCGGCGATGGCGTCTTGTCGAGGTCGGTGACGATACGCGCAGTGCCGTCCTCATTGGTCGCTATCCGCACGAAAGAGTGCTTGCGCTTCAGTGGCCGGGAAGGGGTCTTGGTCGCATGGTCAGGTGATACTGAAGGCTTCGGAGGGGCGTTCGGAAAGGTGATGACTTCGGGCGTGTAATCGTCGAGATAGCGGACGAACGACGCGCTGCGACGGTTGGAGATCCATGATGTGCGTTGTTGCGCGGCGCCCTGTGAAGATGGTGCAGCCTGCTGCGAGTTGCTTATTTCAGCGGAGGCATTTTCGGTATTTTGAGTTTCGGTAGATGGCTCTGCGACAACTTCATTCGCGTTTTCTGGTTCGTTGGCAGAAAAGGTAGTGTCGATGGTGCGTGGTTCTGGGATCGTTTCGTCGGAAGTGAGTTCTGGCGTTGCGGGCTGCTCGGGTGGGTCAGACCTCGGGCACTCGTCCGCCGGCGCGTTATCGATATTGCGCGCAATAGCTACCGTCTCGTCCTCGGTAGGCGGGTCGGACATGGTGGAAGAAGAAGACATCAGCGATGCCGTGGAAGATGGTTCGAGAGGCCGTGAGCGACGGCGGTCGTTTTGGCGTTTATCTAAAGCAGAGCGTGATCAGGACGTGTTTCGAAAATCATGCGCACAACCAAGCCACGCGCGACACTTCGGAGCGATTCAATCGGGTCGATTGAAAAGCAAGCACCAGCGACGCGCATAACAGATGGATTGACTTACTTTGAAACCAAATCTAGGACGCGATGTTAGCAAGGCGCGCACACTCGTGACGTGGAGAAATTGGCGCTTACCTGAACTTCTTTCTCGCCAAGCGCGACTTTGCGGACGATCTCTAGTCGTGCAGCTTTGTCGGGCTTCGGGTTCTTGAGATATTCCGATTTCAACACGTCTTCGTCTTCCTTGCTGCAAGATGTCGTGGTCAGCGCTGATGGGGTGATGGAGAGTCGTGCCCGCGGGGTAGGCCGAAGTAGCTCCCGATGGTAGGTTGCGCACGAACCAACGCGTTGAACATGGGTCGACACGGTCGAGATGGAAAGGCAGAACTTGGATGGAATGAGAGCATACCTGGTGCGTCTTCTCTTCTGGCGAGCAAGAGCTTTGTTGTCAACATCCGGTGGCATGTGGTTTGCGACAGTTTCCTGCGAGTGCACGAGGAAGGCCAATTGACCACTAAAACTGGCGCGTCTGACGGTGGGAAGACGCGATGACGCAGGCGAGGAAAACGACGGCAAGGGCGATGAGGCGGACATGATGGGATGACAACAACGGATGTTGGTAATTGAACTTGGTGTGATCAGAGAAGAGCTACCATGAACGAGGGTTATAGTAGAAAGAATAACGCGTTCAATATGGTGGCAGGAAAGTAGTGTGCGAGGCGCGTCTTCAGTCGCGTACGTATCAGATTGGTCCGAGCCGAGCGCTTGCCTATGTCGTGCATACCACTTGACTGAACTTGCCGCCCGTGCACACGACCACTCCAGCCTCATATCCTGTATTATCCATGCGGCAGATGGTCACGCATGCACGAGCATGATGAGGCCGAGAAAGTTCCACATTCTATCACGCCCAATCTAAGCATCGCTGACGAAAACGCGTGCATCTCATCACTTCGATAGCCTTTCGTGGTTCATCTCGGCGTCGTGCAAGGAACTACGCGAACGCGGGACGACAATTATCTGTTTTGCTTTTCCAAGGTTCTCAGCCCTATTTCGGAACACGTCCAAGAACGCGCGTGAGCAGAGCCCACTGAGCACCAGATTCCTCCAACAGTATTGGCCCGCGGTGTATTGCCGCCCCTTTCTCGACATCATCTGCTTCCACGCGGGATGAAGACGCGTAGGAGTCGCGACGAAAACCATGCTTCTGTTTCCACACGCGTAGCACTGACAAAGCTAGTACTCAAAAAGGATAGTGGTGAAACACGTCCGCACGTGACGCGCTAACCCTTCCAATCACCCCGCCACATCCGCGAAACACGAGTCAAACAATGCACGGTTCTGCTCATCACAACGTTCTGACACAAACTCTCTACCATCGGTATCCTCCGATGACCTACCCTGCCTGTACGCATCATTGCGACTGCAATCTAGGCAGCGACACGCTACTCAACGACTATCCAGTCCGGCCTGCAGTCTAACTCTCTTGGCGGTAACTCTCACCGTCAGATGGGCTTGCACGATGCTCAACCACCATTCCATCTCTGTTCCCGCAGATGCGCATACTCACTTGTCCTCCTTAGCATCTGACCTTTTGCATGCACTTTGGTCTAGTCGCGGTCTCATTGTTCCATACCTTCGTACCCCACATCCACCGGTGAAGACAACCATACAAGGCAGAAGGTTTTGGAGCAAGAGTCGGAGGGTTCCGTGGCCTGATTATACAGATCTTTCGCGTCAAGACTGATCGGTGTCTTTCTGCCTTGTACAGTACACTCTGACGATGTCTGTGTTCAGGAGCCAAGGAGAGTTGCACTGCTCGGACCGAAGCCGACAGAAGATATTCGTAAGACAGCTTACTATCCCGCAACCACGTGCTGCGTGCGGCACTTCTGGAGTTTCAACATTCGCGTATTGGCCATCGAGATCTGACCGAGTGCCTGTGGCTTTCTGGCGTTCGTGCAATCCTTGAGCCTCACCGGTTTTGGCCCCATTTTCCTATCTCGTCATCACCAGTTACCTCCTAACCTGCCATTACGATGGATGATTGGCGGATGGCACCCTTGCCCAAATCACAGCTACCAACGGTGTGCTGTTCTGACAGCCCTACGAAACAAGAAAACCCGACCGCTAGGTTCCTGTTCGCGTAGGCGAGCTACTGCATCGAGCCTCGGATGAGGGTTTCACACCCGAGAATCTACACTTCGGTCAGAGATACGGTCGCATCGTGGTATAGGGCTAGCCCTATGGGTCCACTTTCGTACGCAAACTCCGCTTCCGCCGCGAAGATTCTGGAGTCTGAGATCCTTTCGCACGATATAACCGCCACTCTACCACTGGAACGCGGACCGTGACTGAACGTTCAGCTAGCACTTTAATTGGTTGGAGCTCACTGCCTAGTGCTATTGTCGCAGGACATGACTATGCACGGTCTCGATGCTCGTTTGGCTTTGATTCGCCGGGGCCAGGTGTTTCTTCCGTTGATTTCATCTCTAGTCCTCTGATCGGATGCAGGGCTTAGGTCTCTATTCCTCTCTTCCCGGTCTCTGTCCGCCGTCCGCAACAAGTGTGCTATCTCTTCCACTGTATCACATGTTGAGCCAAGAGTCACGGGAGCTGTCGTGGACAACACTCCAGCGAATCGGCCCCTGATTGTTGACTAGCGAACACTTGACCCAGCGGGAAAGGCGTCGAAAGCAGGCAACTGTACCCAAGAGGCGAAGAGGGCCGCCGTTAGCCCTTCATCATATCTTGTCACGCCAACCTCCGAACACCCATGCACGTTGCAGAAGACGGTGGCAGTCGTTCTACCTACGTGCTAGCATTAGACCGGGCTTCAGGAATTCCTTGATGTAACAGGCTTTGTTTGTGTTTCTTTACGCTACAAGTCAATCTCATTGGCAGCGTCACTTCCACATAACTCTGTATTGTAAGCGATGTTCCCATATGTGCAGCTTTCCCCTGTTTGCAATCTTTCAGGCCGACCACGATAACT